AGTGGTCCTGCATGGGGCTGGTCAATTTTAGGAGTCCAGCTATAGATGTTCTAACATCTGGAAGGCAGGTTTTTGCCATTTTTATAGAAAAACACCCGCCACCCCTCCCATATTTGCATAAAGCTCCATGACCCCTCTCCCTCTCTCAACCCCATCCCTCCCATGTAGGGCTGGACGAGGAGCTCATTGCTCGCGTGCTTAATGAGTGCTCGATAGTTCGGCTCGTCAAGCTCGTTTAATGAACAGAGCCAATCATCGATTTCAACTCGTCAAAATTAGCGAGCTTAACGAACAAACTAACAAGTTTCACGAGTAGCTCGTTAGTAACAACACAACATACATTTTCATCTTACATGACAAAGTTTCCATGGCACCTCGGCCATCTATTCAATCTAATTTACACATGAAGCAACTAACTAGTGCATTTCCTTTTGCAGTCACCATCTTACTTCTTAAAAGTCACATATACACACTCATCATGTAGGTCGTAATACATCAGAATCTGTTACCGAGTGCTCGTGAGGGCTCACGAGCTTAACAAGTTTCAAACGAACCGAGCTGAGCATGATTTTCTGCTCGTTAATTTAACGAGCCGAGCCTTAACGAGCACAAGCTTAACGAGCCGAACAGTTCATTAATCCACCCCGTCGCTTGCTTGGTGATTAGGGATGGTGATGACGCCTGCTAGGGGAGAAGCGATGACGATGACGCCTGTATGCTAGCTCGGCGAGGCACTCTTTGTAAAGGTGTGTGTGGGACGTTTGTGTGTGCCGCTCAGCGGTTTGTGACGGTTTTTGCCCGGTTCTCCATTAATTAACTAGACAATTCTCTTATGCTTAGTTAATGGATGAGGTAAATCTTTTACCTCCTTTTTGGAAAAAAATTAATCCACCCCTACTCCCACGCCTCAAGCCGCCCACGTCATCCACCTCCAGGCCGACGGCACCGTCCCTTGACCGCGCCGGCGCCACCTACAACTTTCCTCAAGCAATGTAGCAATGTGTATAAACTTTTTTTTATTTGTAAGAAAGACCGGGTATGAAGATAGACGAGCCCACTCGACAGGATTACAACAGCGACGATTTACCGTATGCTGTAGCAGGAAAACATCATGAGTTTCTCCAAACCATCCAACAGATTCAATGCTGCTTACCACCGAACACTACTTGAAACTTTGTTTGGATGCTTAGTTTCGTTGGTTTCTCTAATGAAAATCAGAGGGGAAACCCTCTGTTGCTTTTAAAAATCCACCGAACACTACTGAACACAAAATTAGGCCTATATATTAGTAGTGCTGTGCAATTATCGTCGTATGGTAATTATTTTTCAGTGAGAAGTCCCTATCTATCGGTGATGTATGTGTACGAGACACGACTCTCAGAAATAAAATGCGAACGACTGGAACCTCCAATTTGTCGCAGGGTTGACTCGAATCGTTTCTTGAACTGAAAGCACCTCTCCGAGTTATTCAGGAGCGTAACTGTCGTTTTTAAATTATTATTAAAGTAAATATTTATTCATTAAGTAATTAGGTCCTGTAGCTCAGTTGGTTAGAGTGGTCTGATATGCCAAAGGTCGCGGGTTCAAGCCCCGTCGGGACCAATTTTTCAACTGCGATTACTGTTTTTTAAATATTCTCTAGCCGCACAATGCTTTCCTAGTTTCCTGAAAGAGCCAATTAATCATAAATTTGCTAATCTGAAGACTGATTGCTCAAACCAAAAAGGGCAGACTTGGTTCGATGCTCTATTCAAGAAAAGAAGAGTTCGAAGATAACAACAATTATACCTTTAAATTCGTCATTTTGTTCTTCAAATGCGAAAGGAGCAGTGAGTAAATTCTTGTCAACTTTAAAAATTTCTAATAGAATCTCTAATGGTCGGCTAGGTGATGTATGCAACACACAGTTTCAGCAGTGGAACTGGGAGTCCTGGGGACTTATTTTAGCCGGAAAAATAATAGGGGAATTGTAATTTCCAAATGTTTACCTTATCGATAGATCCGAACGAGTTCGATCGGCTCGAGCGCTCAATCTTCCGCCCACTTTTCATTTTTCGCAAAAAAATGAGCAGCGGTGAGATTCAATCCTTGCACCTGCTGCGTGCGGCTCCAGCGCTCAACCTTCCGCCCGCTTTCCATTTTCCACAAAAAAATGAGCAGCGGTGAGATTCGATAGTTACACCTACTGCGAGCATTCTCCTACCAGTAACCAGCCTAGCAAACTCTTTCACGTGCTTAACTATATATTACATATCCTTTTATCGTACCGCTGCCGCTGCTCCTTTGCATCTTTTTTTTAAAGGATAGCTAGGTCTTTATTGCATGGTTAGAATGTTTACAGAGATAATGTTAGCATCATGGGGATGCCCTAACCATATATGTCTCCCCAGGGGATGAGAAACACCCATACCTAGCTAACCTATGAGCTTCAAAGTTTGAAGTTCTAGGCTCAAACATAAAATTACAAGCCGTGAAAAAACTCATAGTTTCAGTCACCTCTCTAATTATGCCCGCATAATTGCCTTCAGCTCCTTGCTTGATATGTGAGACGACTTGTTTACAATCTGAAGCCATCTGAATATGCTGCAAACTCAAATCCCTCGCCAACGCTTGAGCTTCCCGACACGCCAAAGCTTCTACTGTCATTGGATCCGTTGCTCCTTGTACAACCAGTATAGAAGATCCCATATAATTACTTTCCCGATCACGGCAAATCGCAACAGCAGTTCTCCTTTGCATCTAGACCCAAAAAACTAGAAAATAAATTTGATGTGTGTGTGGGGTGCCTTTGGACTCGGACCTGAGTCTCTCATAACTAAGCTATGGCCCATTAACCAGCTCACTTAAATTACTTTTATTGTCTTACCCCCTAATTTCATGCTTTTAAATAGCCCGTTGGTTACAGTAGGCAGTTTCCGTATATAGTATTAAAAACGTTATTGTCTCTATCCATTATGGTAGTAGGTCTCGTTGTCTTGCTCTCATTTCTACCTTGTCCGAGGAAAGTAAATAATAGGTTGGAAAATTAAGAGGATTGAAATGGAAGCACACAATCCTTGCTCCCACCATGGTAGCATGTTTCTCTCCATTTCAAGACCAGGAGCACGCAACCAATGCATGTCATCGGGCTCCTGACTTGATAACTTAGGTACATAGACCACAATAACTTTGCCCCGTGGATAAAAGTTGTTGAAACATATCACAGTTAACTTCTTTGTAAATAGCATGATAATATACACTCCCAGACTTGATAACTTGGGAATAAACACCACGATAACTTTCATCCGTGGAAAAAAGTTGTTGAAAACATACTCCGGTAAGATCTGTGTAAATAACATGGTAATATAGACTCCCGGGCCTGATAACTTAGGTAATAACACCATGATAATTTTGACCCGCGAAAAAAAGTTGTTGAGAACATACTCTGATAACTTTTTTTCGTGTAAATAGCATGATAATATAGACTCCTGGTCCTGATAACCTGGGTACAAACACCACGATAATTTTGTCCCATGATTTTTTTTTGTTAAAACATACAACCGATAACTTCTTTGTAAATAGCATGATAATATTCGTTGTCGGACTTGATAACTTAGGTATAAACACCACGATAATTTTGACCCGTAGAAAAAAGTTACTGAAAACATACTCCAGTAACATTTGTGTCAATAACATAGTAATATAGGATTCCGCATCTGATAACTTAGGTACAAACACCACGATAACTTTGACCCGTGAAGAAAAGTTACTGAAAACATACTCTAATAATTTTTTGTGTAAATTGCATGATAATATAAACTCCCGGTCCTGATAACTTAAGTAAAACACCACGATAACTTTACGTGAATTTTTTTGTTGAAAACATACCAGTGTTAACTTCTCGTGTAAATAACATGAGCTGGTAACATGGAAAAATGTTGTTAAAAAATGCATCCCAATAACTCATGTGTAAACAACATGATAATACAGGCACATGAAAGCTGATAACTCATATACAAATATCGCGGTAATTTCTTGAACGAGGGAATGAAAATTATTGAAAAAGAAACCCCCCGATAACTTTTGTGCAACATGGTGATATACATAACAAAGCTGATAACTCACTGCAAACATCATAATCACTTTTTGACCCCTGGGATAAAAGTCTGTTGAAAACATACCTCCAAAACTTTTGTGTAAATGACACAGTAACTTATGTATGACAGACGTGATAACTCACGTAGCCCGGATGTGCTAACTTTTGGTCCAAAAAAGTCATTATAACATATCAAGATGGGATCTAGTTTCGAAGATCTTGTCGAGACGATTTTTTTTGTGAAGATGGGTTTTCAATCGGGGCGCCGATTTGAGCTACAAAATATTTTGAAGTTTGAAAAAAAGAAAAAATGTAGGATAACATCAGCTTTTTGTCCTTTAGTGCATATATGCATGTAATTAGATGAAGAAGTGCACGTGAAAGAAAAATTAGTCATTCTAATACATGCACGTATATAATTAGAGTGAAGTAAGTATCGTTCTTGCCTATTGCTAAAATCCGAACGTTTGGTAGTTATAGAAGTCCAAAATAATAATCTGTAATGATCCCAATAATGTACTTGTATTTAGAAGATGAAGCTGTCACTCGACACTTTCCTATCCAGGGCGAATCTGGTATACAACTATTCGGTCCCAATGGAATCCATACATCCTTCAGTAATCTAGTCTTTGTCATTGCTCACTAGTGGAAATTGCACCTTAAAAAACGTAGCTAACCCCAAATGCTCTGATCTTCTAGCTTCGCCACTGGTCCTATCTAGAACATCAGTACGACAGTACTAGAAACTGAGAATATACTCCTAGATACTAAATTACACTACAAAAGACTGCCTTAATGTCAAAATACATGTTTGTTGTCACACCTTCCTTGCTTGACACAACCCCGTCGAGACGATTTTTCTCAGTTCCCTTTCCACTATAGGCATCCAAAAATGTCCTCTTTCGCATCTTATTCAGATAAATTATCAAACTAGGAGACTCAGCCTCTTCTCCCAGAACATGAACTTAATAATACTTTCCTGCATCAGGTAATTACAGAGGATCAAATGTCAGAGAACAATAACCAGCACTCTGGTACCCCAGTTTCAACAGGCAACCAAATAAGAATTGGATAGACAAGTCTTACTAGCAGAAGGTAATATCAGTAACTTAGAATGAAGGAGCAAGGGCTTCGGGATTGACACATGATGGCCTCTTTGCATTGTAGTAGAAATAGGCAATCATTTGAACTCGTTCGTCAGCTGTTCTTATCTCTGTAAATACAATCCGTGGAGACCATAATCAGATACTGTCAGAGTGGGTAAAAGATGTGCGACCTACTAATTGTCACCTTTAGCCTCTCAAACAATAAACCTCATGTGTGTGCAGATACAGTTTTTCTTACGACAAATTTGACTAACCTTTTTCTCTGTATAGGATCTTGTTTCCTCTCAAGAACAGCAATTGAGGGCATTCTTTTGCTTGGAGTGCATACGCCAGGTCTCTCTCGATATTCAGATCAATCTTCACAGTCTGAAGTACACAATTATATTTAGCCCTTGTTAAATTAGCAGAGAACCATGTCAGAGTTAAGCGGATAGTAAGCATGATATGATTCACACACCCGTGGAGGTAGCCGATCTTTTGTATCCCAGTATACCTTACTAGCCTTTTCCAATTCTTGAAGAAACCTCCAATTGTCAGCCGCCCTACAAAACACAATAAGCACACTACATCTGTAAACAGTGCTAATAGAGACTTAATTTCTCTGAGGCAACACAAAACATAAGTGAATCTGGATACCAAAGCCAATCTAAAGGACAGCCAGCCCTCTTTTGAGCTCATTGGATTCACCCCCTGTTCCTAAATATAATCCCCAATGGTTTACAGCTATGCAGTAGACACTAGGAATGGACAAATGGCTTTACCTGTTGTAGCGCTCGAAGACTAGGACGATAAGGGGGCTGGGGTGGAAGGCGAAGCTCTCCCACTCCAAGCAGTTGATCTCCTTGACCCAGCCCCGGTCGACCTCTCCTTCCCAGTCGATCTCCACGCCGTCCACCGTCACGTTCTTGATGGAATGCTTGTCGAAGTACTCCGACGCGCGGACCCCCCATCCGACGTCGGCGTCCAGTGGCCAGCTCGGGTCCTCCTCCTCCACCACCGTCTTCTGCTCCCCGTTTTCCTCCCCGGGCTCCGCATCGGAAGCCCGCTCTTCCTCCTCCTTCGGCTTCAGGATGTCGCCTTTGCCTTGGAGGACCTCGGGGTCGCGCTCCTGGATGGAGGCGAAGACCTGCTCGAGGCGGTCGCGGACGAAGTCCTCCACGGCGGCCGCCTCGCTTCGGCGACCGCGGCGTGGTTTGCGGGGCTTGGTTGTGGGGAACTCCGCGGTGACGCCTTCGGGATTCTGGGGGCCGACGCGGGGTTCGGGCTTCAGGGGTTTCGGGGCCGCGGCTGGACTGGGAGTCCGTCGCGGCGGTGGCGGCGGCGGTGGCGGCGGCGTGGTGGAGGAAGCGAGGAGGCGTTTGGGGCCGCGGTGGCCATGGCTGCGCCGGGTGGGGTTTAAGCCGGTGGCCGGGGCCGAGGGTTTAAGAGGGAGGAGAGCGGGGAGACGAAGCATTGCGCGCGGGGAGGACGGCCGAAGCCGACGGAGAAGAAAGGGAGCGGCTGGGTTCCAGTGGCTACCGGCTGCCCTGGTGGGTGCTATCCGAATTTTGCCACTGCCGCTGCCCGGTGTCCCCTCTCACCGTTGAATTTACTGCTACCTTCTTTTGAGAAAAAGAATACTGCTGGATATGCTTTTCTTTCGATTTATTTTACTTCCGACCTATCCATCGTCTGTCAAAGCAGTACAAAGAACACTAAAAGTAAAAATTACACCAGCCTCTTGGGTTATCAAAATATAAACCATAGAAATAGGAAAAACGCAGAATTGAGATGTCACGTGCCATGACATTCTACTATGTACTAAAGCAGCGACAAGTAATATAAATCGTGTCCCTTCCCTTATACATCTAGCCAAGTACCTAATCTGGCCCTTCTGCCCCTTCCCCTCGCGTCCCTTGCGTCGCTCTCGCGGGCGGCGTCAGGGGAACCCTAACCTCCATCCCGCGGTTGCCTCCTACACCCCCCTCCCCTCACCGTCGCCCGAAGGCGCCGCCGGGCGAAGCCCGGTGTGCTTCAGCGGCGGCGGGGCTCCTCTCTCCTCCGAGGGCATGGCTGTAGCACGAGATGCGGCGGCGCGGCGTTCATGCGGAGCAGGCACGTCGGGCGGCGCGGGCGGACGGCCAGGCTGTGGCGGTTGCATGTGGGGTTGGCTCTGGAGCGGCGGCGCGGGCACGGATCCAGCACGGATCTGGTCCTGCGGGTGCGGGCTCGGCCTCCCCGGGTCAGCCGGCGGGTCTCGATGGGGACTTCTCTTTGTTGGGATCTGGTAGCGGCGGCCTGGATCGTCCTGATCTCGGCAAGGATGGCGGCGGTCCGTGCACAAGAGATGAAGGTTTTTCGAACAAATCTGAGTGAAAACCTGCCATCGGCTATTGCCAAGGCCGGCGGTGGCAGTGCTGTTTGCGTCGTTCCCTTCCTGAAGGTATCGTCGTGGAGAAGTTCAAGGCCGCTCTCTGCTACCTCCGGAACCCTAGACCAGTAGGTCGGATGACGGCGGCTCTTTGGTGTCGTTTCCCCCTTGGGGGCGTCATTTTTGGAGGTGCACACCGGCTCGAGGTACCGGAGGACGGCTTCTTTGGTGGAGCGGTGCTTCATCTTACACATTGTTGACGACCGATCTCGGCAGCGTGGCGCTGTGGAGACTCGACGTTCAATGCGCGAAGATGGACTCGCGCAAGAGGAGGATGTTGTCTGGCGTCATTGTGGCGTCGATGATAGAGAAGCCTTGCAAGGTCAGTGCATTAGTTTGCTCTGAAGATGGATTGGTGGAAGATGGCGACGACGGCATGAGAGTGCGTCGGACTGGTTTGTGTCCCAAACCCAGTATGTGTCTTGGTTGGGGCCTATGACTTTAAATGTTAGGCATTTATGCGATGTCTGTTCGATATTAGGCTCGGACTATCGGCACCCCTTCATCATATGGATAGAGGTAGCGACAAATGTTGCTAAGATGGTGGCTTCAGACTACCTGATGTACTACTTTGTAAGGTCTCTGTGAATAATCAATAAAATGACTGCATGCATCACCCAGATGCAGAGGACGGGGGCAATCCTCCTTTTTTTTAAAGTAATATAAATCGGAGAAGGGAATACATGATTTTAAACTTTTTTTTTGCAGTGACTTCCTTTGGATGGTGCACATGAAAGAACCACATGAAGTTTGAAGGATTGAGAAGAGATAACTAGAGTGAAAATACATTTGAGTTCTCAAAAGAAAAATAAGTAAATGTTTGAGGTCGTCTTAGACTTCCTAAGGAATGGGGGCACAAGAATGGGCTATTAGTTAGCAAAAATTCTTTAGGATCAATTCCTCCAATATTCTTACAGAAATCCTTCAATCCAAAGAAGCCCTAGGGAATGGAGTGTCATTCTTCCTGTATTAAACTATAGGAATTTGAATGAAAGAGTGTTTGTTAGTAGATGATAAAAGGATTTGATAGTACAAGACAACCAAAGGAAATGTACAAGTGGTTTGAATGGATTAATTTTTCTCTTCAAAAAACAATACAAATGAATCCTATCTTAAGAATTTCAATATTGCGAATCAAATAATCACCATAGGGAAAATTCCTAAGATCTGAATCCTCTAAAAAATCCTATGAATTTTTTTTGAACCAAAGGAGCCCTGAAAGCTCGTATGTTGTCTCACAGGACATCTCACGCTAGCCTCAAGTATATATGATCATTAGTGGTTTGTGTTTACTGCAACCTGTATATTTCTATATCACGTCGCCATGGCTTACTACAACTTTGTTAGAATGTATTTCTCTCCGCTTAGGAATTATTACTTCTACCCACATGTGGGACTAGCACTTTCCAAAAGACATAGATAAAATAAATATAACTTTACTCACAAGCGTGACTCAACGCAGTACACTACTACTTTCATATGAGACAGATACTTGTAGAAGGTACACACAACAAATTCAGAAATGCAACTTGAACTCAAGATCATGCTCTTGTTTCCCGTTTCTCTTTCCAATCGAGTTCTTCCGATTTTATATCACAGAGTAAGAGAGCTTTTTTTTAACAAGTTGTAATTCCAGAAGGGCGATAGACCTCGTCCTTCTACCGGATCCACGAGCTTGTACAGTCAACTTACTAATGCTCATTATTCTATGTTTCAAAAATCAAAATGTCATGTCCTGCAAATACCCACTATGTTTAAAGGTCTCCATTTGTCTGCCGCATGATCTTTTGTTCTATCTTTTTGCTTCTTTTTAATCTTTAACCGCACACAACTGCTGTAGGACATCAATATATTTCAACGATCTCCTAAATTAGTAACCTAACTCCTCAAATGTTATAGTTTCACAGCAATACATGGGCATTGTGCTAGTACAACTAGAAATCCGTCTTCGAGTATTATCAATACAAGAATAGCCATAGTGCTTAGATGAATTGCCAATATATAGGGAAATGTGCTTGCTCCCGAAGCAAGAAGGGGTCAGATCTAGATTTAGTAAATGTCACAAGTGTCGTGTCATTTTATTTTATTTAGGAAAATCTGATTTTCAATTGACGACAGCAAGTTTGCAACTTTTTTCTTGAGAACCTACATATCTTCAAAAAGAAACAGATAGTTGTTTTTTGCATGGACGTTGTTCCGAATTTTGTTTTGCAGTATGCCGTGTTGGGCTTTCCACCCGGTATGTCTTTACTCGTCTTTAGCGAGACGGAAGAACAACTCGCCTCAAGGAGCGCCTCATCTTGCTTGGTTTGGGTCGGCCCATTTCTGTTCGTTCATTCAGTTGTGCAAGGAAAAAATTGGTTCGTTTGTTTGGTTCTTTTGTAGGTTTGTTTCATTCGGTTCTTTGTTTGGTTCGTTCCCTATTTCTGTTATTTATATTTGGATCATTTTAGAAAAACAATCCTATAGTTTTTAAAAGTGTTTTGAAAAAAATGTTCGTGAGATGTCAACATTTGTTTAGGCAAAAATTAAAAAAATTATATATCATTTAAAAAAGTAACATTGACATTTGAAAAAAATCACACATTTAAGAATATACGAGAATTTTTAAAAATTTATAAATGTATGTAAAAAATCAAGTAATTTGTAGTAAATGTTTGTATCATTTTTAAAACTCTTCATTGCATTTAAAAATGTTCACCTGTTTTAAAAAATAAGTTTGTGACATTTAAAAAAATGTCCATACAATTTATTTATTTTTGAGTAATTTTGGGAAAATGCGTCATACCATTGAAACAAAAGTTCATAACATTTAAAAAAATGTTTGTAATACTTAAACATGTTTGGACGTTTAAAAAAAGTCTTCATAACATTTAAATAAAATGTTCACCATGTGTTTAATCAATGTTAATGTGCATTTGTAAATGTTTTAACATGTAGTCAAAAAAACATTCAACCCGTATTTGGAAAATGTTCACCATGTATCTAAAAAATGTCTAGCATGTACGTAATAAATGCTGAATGTACATTTCACAAATGTTTGACAAGTATTCATAGAAATATTTAATATGTATTTGAAAAACATTCAACGTGTATCAAGAAAATGTTTAGCGTGTATATGAAAAATCTTCAACATGTATTCAATTTTTTCACATGCATTCGCAAACATAACAATGAATAAATAAATATATAAACATAAAAATAAAAATCCAATAAAACTGGCAATATAAGCATAAGAGAAAAACCATCGAAACCTTCCCAAAACCTAGCGGAAGGTTCTCAAAACTAGTGACTATAGTACATAGAAGCTCCCGCAAACAGAAGTAACCAATATTATTGGGCCGACCCATCGTAGCAATTGTTGAAGGCGAGATGAGCATCCATCTCACAATAAACAAGACATAAAATAGAAAGCTCTCACGCTTTCCACTAGCTTGTCCAGTTGTGTTCCGAACTCCTGGGACCGGTAGTTTTGTTTAACTGAAGGCATATTTTCACCCCTTTGGTTCAGGCGATTACCCGCTTATATAGTTGTTTCAGGCCGGCTGGCCATTAAAACTTGAGCTTAAAATTGTGTGCAAGACGCCTGGACTGGTGGTTGATGTTGTTTCTTATTGTGGTAGATTTCATTATTTTACTTATAGGACTTCTAGCACAGAGAAATAGAAAAAAAATAGGAATATAATGTCATACCATGTTAATACTACAAAATTTCATTGATGTTTGATTTCACATAGGAAAAAGTGAAGAATTATATCCAAGAAGTTGAAGTGGATGAAAAATTTCAGGTGGATTTTAAAACTATATGTTAGATACGACTAGCGTTGAACCACTGAAATATGATGTCCCGTTGCAACACACACATAATTAGCCTGCCCTAACTAGACGTCCATATATGCGAGGTTTGATCTGAGGTCACTGATGATGTGATTTTTGAATTTTTTATGGGCTTGAGGTCCATGAATTGAACAATTATTGAATATTCTCCTAGGCCCATATATGGCTTCATGACATGGTGGAAAACCCTATCTGACACTACATGC